ATTTTCACTTCGTAACACACGTAAATCATTTCCGATTTATATGTTCGTTTCCCGTGATTCATATTTACTATTTTACATTTTTCCCCGTCTTAAGATTCATTGTCCCAATGAATTATTTTTCTATTGTTCATTATTCTCCCAAGGATCTTGTTCCGATTCTTGGTTACAATGTGGGCAGTGGTTACTATTTGTTAACAAGATGTTTAGTCTTTCCTTTGTAAGTTTATGTAAGCGTCTTAATTTTTTCCAATGACTCACATGAGCAGGTGTTGACGGTCGAATTGTTATTTCTATTTCCCAATTTAATATCTCCATTTCTAATTGTTGTATTTGATTTTGTAAACGATGGTATGTTTCCCAATTCATATTATTAGGTTCACTTGTCCAATGTGTTCTTCGAAACATTGTATTATGTAAATTTTGTGAAGAATTATTTTCATTTTGGTTTCAATTTGGTGATGAATATCTAACAGGTGCCATTTTTAATAATTGTAAAAATATTTTCAAAAATAATTTGATTCAGGGCAAAAAGGAATTACTTATATAATAAATTTTCAGAATGAATTTTAGATTTTATGAATTTCTCCTATCTAGTGTAACAATAATAATTAATTTAACTTTTTCCGAATTAAAAATAAGATTATAAACAACTTTAATTAAAATATACATAAACAAATAAATAATAAGCAAGATAAGAATTAATATAAATAGATACATGATAAGATAATAACTAATAATTAATTAATACATGATTATTCAGACTTTCACTGAGTTTAAGTTTTTATATTACTTAGGTGTATTATATAAAAATTAATTCTGAATTGATGAGAATTTCTTTCTCTCATCCCGACATATTCTTCTATGATACTGGGCCTTCTGTTTCTCAGCGAGAAAAGTTTTTGCATAACATTTACAATAGTAATTTTGGTTTTCTTCTTGTCGAAAGATTTCTTTTCCAAAATCCTTCTCACAGACTTCATGGGCTTCTTCAACAATATTATTAATTTTGTTGGTTATGGGGTCAATCCAACATGGTTCTGGATTCATATCTGTTTTAATACATAAAAATTT